AAAGTTATACAACCAATTAAGACAAAGCAGCGGAAGAAGCTTCAGCATTGAAAGTCAAAACCATTAAAATTAAATATAGATTTATTAATACAAATTCAAACCAAAAAAAAATTTAAAGTCTTTAGGCAACAGTCTACTTGGCATAAAAAAGAGACCAAAATAATCAAGCACAATTTGTTAGTAAACGCTATGTAAGTAGTACTTATGCAACAACAACAAAGGAAATAATTACAAGAAAAAATAATTTCGGCGCTTGAGTAGTAGGCCAATTACTGCCTACTGCTGAGCGCGAATTTATGGTCAACGGTTCCACCAGCTGACTTTGACCTTGAAACCCATGAAGTAAACAGTCATTAAGAGCGCGTAAACACGACTTTTGCGGCTAACATGCGCCAAGCGACAAGTGACAAGCAAAAAGCCAACACTTGCGTATGCAAAACAGTCGGTAGAACTAGTGGGACTCGAACAAATTATGTCAACACAGGCTGTTTAGCGGTATATAGTTGGTTTGAATGTTGTGGATATTGAAAAAAAGTTAAAATATAAACGATTTTGCAGACTGGTGAGAAAAACAAACGGCTGAATAACTGCAATAATGTTTGAAATTTTTAAGCGTAGATCAATATTCTTTTGGACAAATATTTTGTAATTGTAAATATAAAAAGTAAATAATTACAGAGTTGTTTTTTGTTTGTTTTCAGTTTCGGTAAATAATCAAAAATAAATGAAAGCAAATTTGTAGCGACAATGTTGCATATTTGTGGAAGATTCTATAAATGATAGATCATACGTGCGATACTCACTAAAGCCTTTTCAAACATTTTCACACCAAGGTGTTGCTGAATAAAACTACTAACTCGAAATTACGTTTCGAACACCATTTAAACGATTTTTATACAAATATGACTGAAATAAAAAAATAAAAAAATTATTAAAAAAAATATAAAAATAAATCCTACAAAACAGCAACCAACTATTTTGCGCAAGTTATTTTCAGCGAGAACGATGATATAAATAATTTTAAATATGCCTATGTACATATATGTTTCGAGAACAGCCTGCAAATCAAGCGCTGCCCACAAATACTATAAAAAAAATATTAATTTATGCTTGTTTAATGCAAAGGCGCTACGCAGCAGCCGATAATTACACACAAACGCATATTTGTAGCAGCCAACGTGGCAAAAACGAAACACTCAATCGACAAGTGGACTTTTCGAAAATACATTAAAAACTGGTAGCGTTACAAGCAAACAATCAACGTGCTGCATAAATCATAATCGTCGCTGAAAAACATAAAACCAACGTCAACCTGTCGCAGCAAGAACGCTGTGTACCACAACAACAAGCAAACCACCGATGTCACGAAATGAGTGAACATGAATGAAATCAACATGCGAAAAAGGTTAAATGTCAAGCTGCAACAATAATAACCACGAAATATGAATACATTTAAGCGAAATGTTGATTGAAAATTCCGAAAGCTTAATATTGATGGGAAAGAAGTCATAAACTCGTATGTAATAACATAATAATGGAAGAAAACATAATAAAACAACGCCTGCAAAAAATAAATCAGCAAAAATAATAG